GAGGGGTCGACAATTTTTGGAAACCTTTTATATCACCTATTTACCCCCCACTTTCTATTACTTTTTGATTCAGGACATCTACAAGCCTCTCATAATTTTGTTGACGGTCAAATGGACAGACAAATGGAATGCCGGGCTTTCACAATAGCATGTTGTGTTTTAAGAGATGACATATTTTAATATCTTTTTCTCTCAGGCAAAGGCGGGTACTCCCTGCTAGTATATTGATATATTAAGATATATTACATTGTCTATGAAACTGTACACAGTAGAAGCCCTCTCCACAAGCACCCCTATCAACGAATAATCGCTTAATGACGGGCCTCCATAAAGCCCAATGTGTTCGCTAACCGAGCATTCCCCTAATAAAGTATTAAAGCTTTCGTGACTGCATAAAATTACTCATTGGTTTTTTCGGTAAAGTCACGTACGTAGAAACACAATAAAATTATGTTGAAACATAAAACAATCACGACGTTTCGATCACAACGCAAGCGATCTTCATCAGGTGTCAAGAACAAATCACGGAGGTAAATACAACAAAAAGATGAGAGACGAGAATTCAACAAACCTGAAAAAACATTATGTGAAGCACATCCAGTCAGGCCAACAACACAGTTAGACACTTCCTGGCGGACCACGAATTTCAGAAGAGTGTTAAATGTCGTGTTCACCCTTTGGATTGCACATACCAGCATAGATAGAATGAAAAATACGAGGTACACGGTCAGTAGAAATACATATACAAGCCCACCAAGAGGTAAGGAGGGAGGAAAGACGGACAGGGAGGCAGAGAGAGGGGGGGGGGGATGAACAGAAGCTTAAATAGGAAATACGGTTGGAGGGGGGGAGCGGCCAGAGCGAGAGCGGCAGCTCAAACACGCACATCTTACACATACAAAACGGCAGCTCAAAAAAGGACCACCTCTTGTAAATACAAAACGGCAGCTCAAAAAACGTCGTGATTGTTTTTTTTGTTTTAATATAATTTTATTGTATTTCTACATACGTGACTTCACCGAAAAAAACAATGAGTAGGAGCATTCCCCTGTTAAGGACAGGCGGTCGTAGGTATAATAAATGAGTACATTGATTAACCACGTTTATTTTAATATTATGCGTTAATGTTGTTAGTATATGTGTAGTGGAGTAGAAGATACACATGGGTAAATTGGCCATATACAGTACATACAAACGGTGTGGGTCATGTAAGGTCGGGCAGGTGGTGAAGTCACGGGTGGCATAAGCAAGCCAAAGTAATTAAGGGAGTCAAGGCACGAGGGCTGTGATTGGTCGAGAGGCTGTTAGCGTTAAGTGGCAGCATCACGGAGTCTGGGCCGTTGGACAGGTGCGGAGCTGGCGGGAAAATGTCAGCGAGGCACGTGGCAATTAATTAAGGCTGATTGGAAAGGGGATAAAACGCTAGGTGATTTGGACGGCGGGGGAGTTGTTGGCGAGAAGTGGAGACAGCAGCGGGTAGAGAGAGATGCGAAGAGGGGAGCCGGCAAGTGTTAGTGAGAAATAGATTGGGAGCCGAACCCAGAGGACAATAAATGTCGATAGCGAGAGTTAGCGTTAGCAGAGTGGAGATTACGGTATAGGTAGGTACATGGAGTGTTAGTGATAGACAAGTCACTGTGTGTGAAGAGATAGACAAGTCACTGTGTGTGCGGAGATAGACAGGTCACTGTGTGTGAAGAGATAGACAGGTCACTGTGTGTGAAGAGATAGACAAGTCACTGTGTGTGAAGAGATAGACAAGTCACTGTGTGTGAAGAGATAGACAAGTCACTGCGTGTGAAGAGATAGACAAGTCACTGCGTGTGAAGAGATAGACGAGTCACTGTGTGAAGAGATAGACAAGTCACTGTGTGTGAAGAGATAGACGAGTCACTGTGTGTGAAGAGATAGACGAGTCACTGTGTGTGAGGAGATAGACAGGTCACTGTGTGTGAAGAGATAGACAAGTCACTGTGTGTGAAGAGATAGACGAGTCACTGTGTGTGAAGAGATAGACAAGTCACTGTGTGTGAGGAGATAGACAGGTCACTGTGTGTGAAGAGATAGACGAGTCACTGTGTGTGAGGAGATAGACGAGTCACTGCGTGTGAAGAGATATACAAGTCACTGTGTGTGAGGAGATAGAGATAGAACCACTGTGTGTGAAGAGATAGACAAGTCACTGTGTGTGAAGAGATAGACAAGTCACTGTGTGTGAGGAGATAGAGATAGAACCACTGTGTGTGCGGGGAGTGAAGAAGAGACTGTGTGGGGAGACAAGGAGTATGAGCGGACGGTGCTGAGGGGAATTCGAGTGTTCGAGTTGGCGGAGCGCGGAGAGGAGAAATTATATATAGTGTGTGTGTGTAATTATATATATAGTGTGTGTGTGTGTCTGTGTGTGTGTGTGCGGAACGATGGAAATAAAAGTTACGGTGGAAGAAAGGCAATTATCGTCCGAGTGAATCCAAGGCACTACACTTGTATTAATATCCATTGTTTAAATATTATAAGTACGTTTTTTGGGTGAAAAAAGGAAACTTGCTATCGGAACTAATTCAACCTTTAACTTGGATTTCCTATACTCGCTTAACGACCAAATCACTTAACGATCGGTTTCGTGGTCACAATTACCGTCGTTAAGAGGGGTTCTACTGTATGTATTATTCGTTGTATGCGAGGGGGAAAAAAAATATTAAGAGTACAGTACACGTGAAAGAGACTTTAGCCAGTCCGGGACACTGATGCTTGGGCACCATCTGGCAACTGAATATTCGCCGTGCAGCGTAAAATACAATTGTAGAGTAATGGCGCTGGCTATTACTGGTAGTGTATGGCAGTACACACTGCAGCGGGCGACGAGTGTATTCCTTAGATAACTAAGGAATAAGCTCAGGAAGGGGTCCACTTGGAAGCCCCGGGAACCTGCTTAGTAGCTTCCAGAAGGGGGGCATGGGCAAGGCGGAGCAAGGCCACGCCGGGAGCATAAGAGGGAGCCCTGGGCGAGAGCTCGGGGCTGTTGCTGGAAGTGGATCCCCTCGTCGCGTTGCTGTTCGTCGCCATCGTCGCCGCCGTGTTCACCATCACTGGGCGCCGCTAGCTCGACAGCCTGCCAACTGTTCTAGCCAGATAGTGTCGCCGACAATCGATGGCTGTGTGTATAATATATATAGTGTACACACACGTAGGGTGCGTATAGTCCCCATTGTGTGCAAAGAATAAAGAAAGGTGCCTCCAATTATTCCTGTGTCCGAACTGCGTCACTACACACAATGTTGGGTCTCGACGGTAAAGTTCGCAAACCTGGCGTGCGTTATGGCGAGGTAGCCGGGTACGTGAAACGCGATTTGATATCGGCAAGTTGAGTACGTTAGAGCTAAAGCACGAACAGCAGAAGGGCGTAAATCGGGGTGTTACTTTCAATACAATTTAATCATAGTGTAAACACGATATAAACAAGTTTTACATTTTACTTAGAAAACAGCAACAGGGACTGATGATGCCATGTCACAGTTGTAGAGGCTAATGCTCTCATGTCACAGTGTAGAGACTCATGCTGTCATGTCACAGTGTAGAGACTCATGATGCCATGTCACAGTGTAGAGGCTAATGCTCTCATGTCACAGTGTAGAGACTAATGCTCTCATGTCAGAGTGTAGAGACTCATGTTGTCATGTCCCAGTGTAGAGACTCATGTTGTCATGTCCCAGTGTAGAGACTCATGACGCCATGTCACAGTGTAGAGACTAATGCTCTCATGTCAGAGTGTAGAGACTCATGCTGTCATGTCACAATGTAGAGACTCATGACGCCATGTCACAGTGTAGAGAATAATTATCTCATGTCAAAGTGCAGGAACTCCACTCAATCATTTACTCTGTAGAACAGGGGGTGATCATACAAACTCCACTTACTCACTCGGTAGCACAGGGGAAGATCGTACAAACTCCACCCACTCACTCTGTAGAACAGGAGGAGATAATACAAACTCCACGCAGAGTCGAGAATCACACCCAGGGACCATCTTGCCGTAAGTAGCTAGCATCACCAATGCAGCTGCCACCCTGGAAATTATGCTCACTTTCTTGCTGCTGCTACTAGTGCTACTGCTGCTACTACTGCTGGTGGTGCTGCTGGGGCTGATGATGCTGTGGATACTGCTGGGGCGACTGCTGCTGCTGCTGCTGCTGGGGCTAATGGAGCTGTGGCTACTGCTGGAGCTACTGCTGCTGGGGCTACTGCTGATGCTGCTGCTGGAGGAACTGCTGCTGGGGCTATTGCTGCTGGGGCTACTGCTGCTGGGGCTACTGCTGCCGCTACTGCTGCTGGAGCTACTGCTGCTGGGGCTATTGCTGCTGGAGCTACTGCTGCCGCTACTGCTGCTGGGGCTACTGCTGGAGCTACTGCTGCTGGAGCTACTGCTGCTACTACTGCTGCTGGGGCTACTGCTGCTGACGCTGCTGCTGGGGCTACTGCTGCTGGGGCTACTGCTGATGCTGCTGCTGGAGGAACTGCTGCTGGGGCTATTGCTGCTGGGGCTACTTGCTACTGGGGCTACTGCTGCTGGGGCTACTGCTGCCACTACTGCTGCTGGAGCTACTGCTGCTGGGGCTATTGCTGCTGGAGCTACTGCTGCCACTACTGCTGCTGGGGCTACTGCTGGAGCTACTGCTGCTGGAGCTACTGCTGCTACTACTGCTGCTGGGGCTACTGCTGCTGACGCTGCTGCTGGGGCTACTGCTGCTGGGGCTACTGCTGGAGCTACTACTGCTGGAGCTACTGCTGCTGGGGCTACTACTGCTGGGGCTACTGCTGCTGGGGCTACTGCTGGGGCTACTGCTGCTGGGGCTACTGCTGCTGGGGCTACTGCTGGAGCTACTACTGCTGGAGCTACTACTGCTGGAGCTGCTACTGCTGCTGGGGCTACTACTGCTGGGGCTACTGCTGCTGGGGCTACTGCTGCTGGGGCTACTGCTGGGGTTATTGCTGCAGCTGGCAATGGTGCTGCTGCTGGGGCTACTGCTGCTGCTGGTGGTGCTGCTGTTGGTGCTACTGCTGCTACTGCTGCTGCTGGTCATAGGCACTGCTCCCCAGCTCGAGTTTCTTGAGCAAATCCAGGAATCTGTCGGCAGAGTTGGGGTCCGAGCAGTCGGGTTGAGCGTCCCGCGGGCAGACGCCCAAGCGCTTGACCTCGTCGACGATGGCGTGCGACCTCAAGTGCTCCACCTGAGACAGGCAGAGAACAAAGAGTCTCCCTGAGAGACAGAGAACAAAGAGTCCATCTGAGACAGACAGAGAACAAAGGGTCTCCCTGAGACAGACAGAGAACAAAGAGTCTCCCTGAGATGACAGAGAACAAAGAGTCTCCCTGAGACAGACAGAGAACAAAGGGTCCATCTGAGACAGACAGAGAACAAAGGGTCTCCCTGAGATGACAGAGAACAAAGAGTCTCCCTGAGACAGACAGAGAACAAAGGGTCCATCTGAGACAGACAGAGAACAAAGGGTCTCCCTGAGATGACAGAGAACAAAGAGTCTCCCTGACACAGACGGAGAACAAAGAGTCTCCGTGAGACAGACAGAGAACAAAGAGTCTCCCTGAGACAGACAGAGAACAAAGGATCCATCTGAGACAGAGAACAAAGGGCCACCCCCCCCCCCCCCCCCCCGACTAAAGCCTTAACAGCCTGGCTGAGTCAAAGTGGCTGTTTGTAGCGAGTAGCAGCAGCAGCGCCTATGAAAGCCGGCACTGTGGCACACGAGGGGGTGGGTGGCCAGCGTCACCCTACGGTGGCCACGAGATGTTAACAACCTCCTATCCAGGAAGCTGTGGGTTCGATCCCGACCCAGACGGCTGTATATTTGGAGTTTGTACGTTCCCAACCGTGATCGTGTGGATTTTTCTGTTGGGTCCCCAGATTTTTTTTTCATCCATGTTTACAATCAACACGCGTTTAGAGTATTTCGGCTGATGTAAGTGTTCACATGATGAGCCACTTCGTCTGAGATATTATTTGTGATGACCAGGTCGCTTCTGAAAAATATCTACTTAGCTCAGGTGGGCCTTACCTAGGAAAATAAATAAAAGTCATATACATACACACATACACGTATATACATATATATCTTCATCTTCACATGTATGAAGATAAAGATCCTTCATTTAGCCTTAAAAGACTCGTGGGGAAAGTGCTGCTAGCGAGCACCTTTGAAGGTCGGCACGGGACACGAGGGGGTGGGTGGCCAGCACCACGCCCGGCCGCCTTTGTCTCCCTAGTGGCGATGTTTACTACACACCTCACCAAGTACTCGTTTAAGGCTGAGTCGACCTAGGGGAGGACCAGGACCGGTTCAGATAATCGTCACTGGTGTTGGTCGTGAACGGGAATCGAAACTCGGTCCGCCAGGTTCATAGCGCAGTGTAACGCTAACCGCTACACTACCGCAAACACACGTACACACAGCCTCACACACATACACATACATAAAACAACAACCGCCATTTGCCACTAAGTGGCGGTGACGTCACCACGACGCTTGTGCCAGGCCATGTGCACCTTGAGGCCACGTGAAGTGTCGAACGCCCGCTGGCAGGAGGTCACGGGGCAGACACACAGACACACGCACACGTACACACAGACACACACACATGTACACACAGGCACACACACGTACACACACAGACACACACACATACACACAGACACACACACACAGACACACACACACATACACACAGACACACACACACACGTACACACAGACACACACACACACACGTACACACACACACGTACACACACAGACACACACACACACATACACACACACACGTACACACAGGCACACACACGTAGACACACACACACACGTACACACACAGACACACACACATACACACAGACACACAGACACACATACACACAGACACACACACGTACACACAAGTACGATCGTGGCCCCTTGGGCCCATACCCGCACGATGATGGGCTTCCTGTGAGATTCCTCCCCGTCTGGCCACTTTGTGCCGATGCAGAGCGTCACCTCGTGACTGGGGGCATGCAGGAGGCTGTCCAGGGGGGTCCTGATGTAGTCCTCCATCTCTGCGTGACGGTAAGAACCACAAAGACGTTACCCACCCCCCCAAGAAGCACCGATGAAGGCCTGGCACTTTGGCACACGAGGGGGTGGGTGGCCAGCACCACGCCCGACCGTCTTTGTCTCCCCAGTGGCGATGTTTACTACACACCGCACCAGGCGCTCATTTGAGGCTGATTCGACCTAGGGGAGTCCCAGGACCGGTTCAGATAATCGATATCACTGGTGTTGGCCATGAATGGGAATTGAACCTGGCGACCCGAGTTCAATTCCCAACTTATGACCAAGCATCTATTAAGGCTATACGGGGAATCTTTGTGTATACTTGTGGGTAGTGGTACTCTAGCAGTTCGCATGCTGCACCACGAAGCTGGGGAACTGAGTTCGATTCCCGCTCATGGCTAACACCAGTGATGACTATCTGAACCGGTCCGGGGCCTCCCCTAGGTCGACTCAGCCTCAAATGAGTACCTGGTGTGTAAAAACATCGCCACTGGGGAGACAAAGGCGGTCGGGCGTGGTGCTGGCCACGCACCCCCCGTCGTGTGCCGTTCCGGCCTTCATAGGTGCTCGCTCACAGCACTTGCCCCAACAGTCTGCCGAGACTATACGGGGGTATTTATCTGCGTGTGCGAGTGCGTTCCGCTCTCACTGCGTTGGAATTCTTTGAAGTCAAAGAGGAGGTGCCGGGCGCTCCCAGAGCTCTTGGGCCTGGGCAGGGACTGGGGGTCTCTCTGCGGCGTCTGGGTCTCGGGTCCAGAAACGTAGACACGGCAACGGCAGAGACGGGTGCAGAAAATCCCCAGCGGAGTCACCTACACTCGAAATTGTCAATATCATCAACTTCATCAATGTCATCATCATCAACAACATCATCATCATCAAAATAAACAACATCATCAACATTATAAAAATCATCAACATCATAATCATCATCAAGATCAACATCATCAACAACAACGTCAAAAACATAATCAACAATTACACAATCATCAACACAATCAGTATTAACGTCATCAACATCACCCACGCGCATGTCTGAAATCTCGCTGCCCCTCCTGGAACACGCTCCAACGCTGACGAACCAGTGACAGTCTCCTACATCTGGATGGCGCGGCTCCCGGCCGACGGTCAGCATCACCGATTGCAAACATCACCGGCGACCCGACCGCCAAGTGGTGAAGTCTTGGGGGGGGTTCGCGAGGCGGGTCGTTGTTGTGGTTGTTGTTGTAATTACCGGCGAAACGTCACAGTACTTTACTCGAGTTGCAAATGTTGTGGTGGCTTGACGCTCCAACGCATACCCCCGGTTAGTGCCAGACTCGTACATAGTTGTGCTGCACTAGTGACCATGTTGTTTACGTGACAACCCTTTCCTGATTGCGCTCTGTCGGGTGGTGGCGGGTTTAACGACACATTTATATTTACGCGATCTACAGGCGGAAAAAAATTGTTGTGGATATTGGTCGTGAAAGCATCCTACCGCTACAACTGAGTGTTAAACTGGGGTTCAACCTTCCCACAGAAAACTTGGGATGAACCCTCCAGCGCTTGAGGACAGGGCTGGGAATATACAGTGAGGGAAAACAAGTATTTGATCCCCTGCTGATTTTGTACGTTTGCCCACTGATGAAGAAATGATCAGTCTATAATTTTAATGGTAGGTTTATTTGAACAGTGAGAGACAGAATAACAACATCAAAAATCCAGAAAAACGCATGTCAAAAATGGTATAAATTGATTTGCATTTTAATGAGGGAAATAACTATTTGACCCCTCTGCAAAACATGACTTAGTACTTGGTGGCAAAACCCTTGTTGGCAATCACAGAGGTCAGGCGTTTCTTGTAGTTGGCCACCAGGTTTGCACACATCTCTGGAGGGATTTTGTCCCACTCCTCTTTGCAGATCTTCTTCAAGTCATTGAAAAATACCCACAAAGCATAATTTTTCCACCTCCATGTTTGACGGTGGGGATGGTGTTCTTGGGGTCATAGGCAGCATTCCTCCTCCTCCAAACACGACGAGTTGAGTTGATGCCAAAGATCTCCATTTTGGTCTCATCTGACCACAACACTTTCACCCAGTTGTCCTCTGAATAGTTCGGATGTTCATTGGCAAACTTCAGACGGGCATGTATATGTGCTTTCTTGAGCAGGGGGACCTTGCGGGCGCTGCAGGATTTCAGTCCTTCACGGCGTAGTGTGTTACCAATTGTTTTCTTGGTGACTATGGTCCCAGCTGCCTTGAGATCATTGACAAGATTCTCCCGTATAGTTCTGGGCTGATTCCTCACCGTTCTCATGATCATTGCAGCTCCACGAGGTGAGATCTTGCATGGAGCCCCAGGCCGAGGGAGATTGACAGTTATTTTGTGTTTCTTCCATTTGCGAATAATCGCACCAACTGTTGTCACCTTCTCACCAAGCTGCTTGGCAATGGTCTTGTAGCCCATTCCAGCCTTGTGTAGGTCTACAATCTTGTCCCTGACATCCTTGGATAGCTCTTTGGTCTTGGCCGTGGTGGAGAGTTTGGAATCTGATTGATTGCTTCTGTGGACAGGTGTCTTTTATACAGGTAACAAGCTGAGATTAGGAGGACTCCCTTTAAGAGTGTGCTCCTAATCTCAGCTCGTTACCTGTATAAAAAAAACACATAAGAGCCAGAGATCTTTCTGATTGAGAGGGGGTCAAATACTTATTTCCCTCATTAAAATGCAAATCAATTTCATTTTTGACATGCGTTTTTCTGGATTTTGTTGTTGTTATTCTCTCTCACTGTTCAAAAAAACCTACCATTAAAATTATAGACTGATTATTTCTTTGTCAGTGGGCAAACGTACAAAATCAGCAGGGGATCAAATACTTTTTTTCCCTCACTGTACACACAAACACGTGTACATAAACACAGATACGCATACAGTGAGGGAAAAAAGTATTTGATCCCCTGTTGATTTTGGACGTTTGCCCACTGACAAAGAAATAATCAGTCTATAATTGTAATGGTAGGTTTTTTTTTAACAGTGAAAGACAGAATAACAAAAAAATATGAAAAACGCATGTCAAAAATGTTATAAATTGATTTGCATTTTAATGAGGGAAATAAATGTTTGACTCCTCTGCAAAACATGAGTTAGTACTTGGTGGCAAACCCCTTGTTGGCAATCACAGAGGTCAGACGTTTCTTGTAGTTGGCCACCAGGTTTGCACACATCTCTGGGGGGATTTTGTTCCACTCCTCTTTGCAGATCTTCTCCAAATCATTAAGGTTTCGAGGCTGACATTTGGCAACTCGAACCTTCAGCTCCCTCCACAGATTTTTTTATGGGATTAAGGTCTGGAGACTGGCTAGGCCACTCCAGGGCCTTAATGTGCTTCTTCTTGAGCCACTCCTTTGTTGCCTTGGCCGTGTGTTTTGGGTCATTATCATGCTCGAATACCCATCCACGACCCATTTCAATGCCCTGGCTGACGGAAGGAGGTTCTCACCCAAGATATGATGGTACATGGCCCCGTCCATCGTCCCTTTGATGCGGTGAAGTTGTCCTGTCCCCTTAGCAGAAAAACACCCCCAATGCATAATGATTCTACCTCCATGTTTGACGGTGGGGATGGTGTTCTTGGGGTCATAGGCAGCATTCCTCCTCCTCCAAACACGACGAGTTGAGTTGATGCCAAAGAGCTCCATTTTGGTCTCATCTGACCACAACACTTTCACCCAGTTGTCCTCTGAATCATTCAGATGTTCATTGGCAAACTTGAGACGGGCACGTATATGTGCTTTCTTGAGCAGGGGGACCTTGCGGGCGCTGCAGGATTTCAGTCCTTCACGGCGTAGTGTGTTACCAATTGTTTTCTTGGTGACTATGGTCCCAGCTGCCTTGAGATCATTGACAAGATCCTCCTGTGTAGTTCTGGGCTGATTCCTCACCGTTCTCATGATCATTGCAACTCAACGAGGTGAGATCTTGCATGGAGCCCCAGGCCGAGGGAGATTGACAGTTCTTTTGTGTTTCTTCCATGTGCGAATAATCGCACCAACTGTTGTCACCTTCTCACCAAGCTGCTTGGCAATGGTCTTGTAGCCTATTCCAGCTTTGTGTAGGTCTACAATCTTGTCCCTGACATCCTTGGAGAGCTCTTTGGTCTTGGCCATGGTGGAGAGTTTGGAATCTGATTGATTGTTTGCTTCTGTGGACAGGTGTCTTTGATACATGTAACGAGCTGAGATTAGGAGCACTCCCCTTAAGAGTGTGCTCCTAATCTCAGCTCGTTACCTGTATAAAAGACACCTGGGAGCCAGAAATCTTTCTGATTGAGAGGGGGTCAAATACTTATTTCCCTCATTAAAAAGCAAATCAATTTATAACATTTTTGACATGCGTTTTTCTGGATTTTTGTTGTTATTCTGTCTCTCACTGTTCAAATAAACCTACCATTAAAATTATAGACTGATCATTTCTTTGTCAGTGGGCAAACGTACAGAATCAGCAGGGGATCAAATACTTTTTTCCCTCACTGTATACAAACACATACATACAAACAAAACAACAAAGACCCCCGTATAGCCTTAACAGACTGTAGGGGCAAGTGCTGTTAGCGAGCACCTATAAAGGCCGGAAAAGTACACGAGGGAGTGGGTGGCCAGCACCACGCCCGACCGCCTTTGTCTCCCTAGTGGCGATGTTGACACACCGCACCAGGTACTCATTTGAGGCTGAGTCGACCTAGGGGAGGCCCGGGACCGGTTCAGATAATCGTCACTGGTGTTGGCCGTGAGCGGGAATCGAACCCGGGTCGCCAGGTTCATAGCGCAGCGCGCTAACCGCTACACTATCGCTCCCCACTACACGTGTACCAACACACACGTGTACCAACACACACGTGTACACACACACACACGTGTACACACACACGTGTACACACACACACACACACGTGTACCAACACACACACGTGTACCAACACACACACTGTGTGTATAAACAGTGTACACCCACGCGCGTCCTCAACCCTCACCTCCAGCAGCAGCCCGTTGTCCATGAGCTCCAGCCTCTCCTGCACCTCTCTGCGGTCACTGCCACTCATGGAGTCACCTTTTGGTGGCTGAGGCAGCATCACGGGAACCAGGTGGGGCTCCTTCGACGACAGGAAGTTTCTGCTCACCTGCGTCACAGTGCGAGTCACCAACGGGCAAAAGCGTGTTTGGGGGAGTGATGTCGTAGCGGTTAGCGCTACGCTGCACAACGAACCCAGCGACCCGGGTTCGATTCCCGCTCATGGCCAACACCAGTGACAATGTTCTGAACCGGTCCTGGGCCTCCCCTACGTCGACCCATTATCTATCGTCCCCCCCTGGTCCCTCGATCTTCTTCGTCGACCACCCAGACTGTCCTCCCTCTCCTGCACCCTTTTATTCCTCTAGCTAATTTCAATCTGGATCTTGGTCTTCCCTCCACCTTCCCCTCACTAACTCCTTCGATGTTCGTCTCCTTCCCTCGCCCCATACTCCCTTCTTTGGCAGCACCCTCCACCTCACCTTTACATCAGATTGGGAGGCTTCCCCCATTGTAACCGACCCCCGCCCTCCCTCGGACCACTTCCACCTCTCCCTCACCATCACTGTACCCAGCCCTTCCCAGCCCCATCCAACCCCACCACTTTCTTTCCCGCAAACTCCGCTCACTCGAGACTCCGCATCCCTAATCTCCCGGATCTCCTCCTCTCTCCTTTCCTTGCCCTCTTTTTCCTTGCCCCCGCCCAGACGCTGCCTCTTGCCACCTCACACTCCACCATCAACACCTCACTCGATCTCCTTGCTCCCCTGCACAACCGCTCCCACCGTCCGAAGCCCCCCAACAGCCCTGGCTAACCCCCTGCATCCAATCGAGCCAAACGCTCTCTGCGCAAATCGGAGCGTACGTGGGGAGCTCATCCTCCCCCTCTTCCCTCCCCAGTTACCACTCCCTACTCAGGCCATTTTCTATCATCGCTGGAAGTAGCCAAACACAATTACTTCCACACTCTTACTTTCCACCCTTTCCTCTCATCTCCGCCCACTCTTCTCTACCCTTAATAACCTTCTCCACCCACCCACCCCAACTCCTCCCCGCCCTTTCCACTTGTCTCTCTGCTACTGACTTTGCCCTTTCATTCTCTTCCAAAACAAATGCCATTCGCTCCTCTTCCCTAACTTCCCCGTGCCCCAACCAGCTCCTTCCGTCCTTAGCTCCTCACCAACTCTTCATGGCCTTGCCCCACCCTTACCTCGCTTCCCTCATCTTGTTTAATGTCCCCACCCGCCCGCTCCGCTCTCAATCTCTCCTACTCCTCGCCGTTGCCTCCTCTTCTTGTGCACAATCCCGTTTCCACTCCTTATCCCTACTTGCCCCCTTGCACTGGAACAAACTTCCACTCCACATTAAGCGAGCACCCTCCCTGTCGAGTTTTTCCGCTCCTCCCTCAAGACCCCCACCTCTTTTCCCTGACCCATCCTTCCCTCCATCCCTAGGCACCCCCGTAATTCCGGTACCCACTCACCGCCCTTCCTTTGCCCCATCCCTATTCACCATATCACTTTTAGTTACCCAATGTTTTTATTTTATTTAAACTAAACTATTTTTATTTTACCAGGTAAGGGCCACTAAGCAATGTAACTCTTTTTAAGAAGTGACCTGGCCACACGCCATAGCTCAACGAAGTGGCTTATATCATTCTAGATTTGGCTTATAACAATCTAGCTTATATCAATCTATATAGCCTCCTGTTACAGCAGCCCTTCTGCCTACTTCAGCAATTGTTTCTTGCTGTGGTTGTCCCGCCTGATGACGGACGCTTGTGTTGCGCCCGAAACGTCGTGATTTAATTTATTTTGTTTTATATCCACGTGACTTTACCGAAAGAACCAAAGAGTATGGAAGTGCCTCATCACGTGGAAATATATAGCAGCCGAATATGCGCACGTTGATTCTAAATGTGGAGAGAGAACCCGGAGGACCCGGAGAAAAATCCACGCGACCACGGGGATCGAGAGAGGCACGCAGACTCCAAATATACAGCAGCACGCGTCAGGGTCGGGATCAAACCCACGACCTCCTGTATACCACGCGAGGTAGTTAACATCTCCTAGCCGCCACCGCGGCCGCCCCAACACTGATGAACTACCACAGGCAGCGCCAACACGGACCTCCCCGCGGTCCCAGGTGCCGTGGAAGAGGAGGCAGGCGTAGGAGGAGTCACAGGCCATCGACTCAGGGCCCACGACGTGGGAAAGCGCGAGGAGGCCCCGGTAAGTGACCGTCAGCCGCAGGGTGCTAGCTGCGGCGAGCAAGGGGTGGGGGAGGGGAGAGAGCGAACGAGGGAGGCTGGTACTCAGAGCCGTCGCATACGGTGCACGGTGAATCATTGGGGCAACTGCCCCGGGCCCCGCGCTTTCAGGGGTCCCCCGCCCCGCGCTTTGACGTCATGGCGTCAGATAAATTACTTCCAAATTAGTTTGAAGTCGTTCAACGTTAAAGGCTCCGATGGCGTTCAATGTTAAAGATTCCCATGGCGTTCAATGCTAAACACTCCCATGCCATTGACTTTTCCAAGACAGAGGTTCTTTGTAAGCCATCTGGCTTCCATGAGAGATTCGTTCATGAGGCTATCCACATATACAAGCACAGAGACAATTTCAACCGAGAAGATGGATTCTATCTTAGGAATCATTGGAAAAATTTGATAAACCATTTCAGGTCTTAATTGATTGTTCACGCTTACAGTGGCTTTCAGACAGCATACATTATAAAAAAAAATCGTCTCCCCCCTCCTCTTTTCAGAATATAGATGGACTAGTCCTAAATAAACTGCCAAATTGTTGCGCATGGCGCTAACGTGTTTTATAAATAAATAAATGCGCCGTTTAAAAATAAATTATGCAAACCAACAAACCTGAAGACGACCGTTTGTGTTATGGTCGAAACGTCGTGAGAATTTTTTTATTGTTTTATATATATTTTATTATTTTGTTGTTTCCCTTCAACGTGACTTTACCGAAAAAACTAAGAATATGAATATACTCCCATGTCATTCAATATTGAAGGCCTCTACGGCGTTCGATGTTAAATACTCCCATGGAGTTCAAGGTTAAAGGCTTCCATGGCGTTCGACGTTAAAGGTCGCACTCATTACACACAACAAAGTGTTTGCCACAAATTAACCACAATACCTCACTTACCTCATCAATGAGCTATATAAACCATCACCAAGCAAAACTCGGGTCATCCTCGCAGCGGCAGCGGCTTTTGGCTAACAAAGCGGTCACCGCATCGCACGGCGCTTTCAGATGCGCTTCTGCAGCCGTCTGGAACGCTCTTCCAGACGATATTAGGAAGTCACCGGAGCAATGCAACTTTTAAATCATCTCGATTAAAAAAAACTGTTTTCTTGAAAACTGCTTCGTGTGTTTACTTTGTTGTCCTTCCCCCGCACCCCCAATTAGCACGATTGGCTACGTACGGTACGAAAGAGTTCAACGTTACATACATACAGTGTCAAGGTATTGAATGATAAATAGAGGCTTTACCCTCTCTGGCGTAAACACAGGTGGTGTTAAGATGTTGAAACACCACAGAGACACCCATTAAATACAAGACATCAAGTCTGCATTAACCACACACCGCTGCGCCACCACCTCCATCCCGGCTGCTACCCCAGCTTTCAATTCCAAACTTTAAAGCAAACCCAGGACCTTCCTGCTCACCTTGATGCATGGTCACATTTTCAGGGCTCAGAGAGGCCAGGGAAATCTGGGCTGCACCAGTTGGACACACACAACAAAGACAAACATCATCATGAGGCCTCCTTTTCCAGTATTAAATTATGATAGTATGGTTTTCCCCTTTCTGGCAATAAAACAGTTGTGTTAAGATGTTAAGACACCAAACTGAAACCTTTGCAAGGAATCATGTCCCTATTATCATAATTTAATACTGGCAAAGGAGGTCCCATGATGTAGCTGCTCACCCCGAGCTCTCAATGTCCTAATAGTGGCATTGTCTTTGTGCTGTTCGCCTTTTGGCGTCCACTCGTCTAACACTGAGACTAGACTCTAAAGAAAGCTGTCTCTGGTGTGGACCAATCAGTTTCAAAGACAATGCACATACTGTCAGAGCATGTTTTTTTGTTTGCATGTTCACCACAAGTACATGTGATTAATGCAGACATGATTCCTTGCAAAGGTTTCAGTTTGGTGTTTTAACATCTTAACACAACTGTTTTATTGGTTCTTTCGGTAAAGTCACGTCGAAGGGAAACAATAAAATTGTTTTATATTTTTATTATTTTATTGTTTCCCTTCTACGTGACTTTACCGAAAGAACCAAGAATATGAATCACTGCAGTCACGAAAGCTTTAAATCAAAATTTAAATCTTAACACCTGTTTTATTGCCAGAAAGGGGGAAACCCTATTATCAAGACAAACATCTCCCGTATAGCCTTAACACCCTGTGGTTAGCGAGAAGAACCTACAGCTGGCCGACACGGCACATGAAGGGGTGGGGGTGGCCAGCACCACACCCGTCCGTCCGCCTTTGCCCCCCAAGTGGCGATGATTACTGCACCTTCACACGGGTTCAGATAATCGTCACTAGTGTTGTTGTTGGTGGCGGCACTGAGCGGGAATCAAACCTTGGTCGCCGTGTTCATAGCACAGCATGCTAACCACTGCGCCACTGCTCCCAGCCGGACACATACACAGACAGAGACACATGCGGACACCATCACAGCAGTGGCCATACAGCTGTCGCCATCTGTGCACCGATTTGTTAAAGACCCACACGGTGTGATTTGTCCCAGGGGCTTCCCCAACCCACCACGCTATGGATGGCCCTGGTGGTGCCAGCAAGTCCTCAATTAACGTTGCTCTTATTGACGTCGTCGGTTCGCTATAACGTCGCCAGCCAATCTAGGGAACGCAATTCGGTTCAAAATGCATCGATTCGCTAGGACGTTTTGAAAAAAAACAAAACCAAGACGAGTCTGCAGGAGCTTGGGCAGCGTACAACGAGATGATGCTCTATGCCACCTCACCCCAAGGTGGGCGCTCGCGTATCTACACTGCACTACGTCGCCATACTGCAGAGCGTACGTAAGACATCGTTATACTCGATACTCTACTGCACTGCCATACCGGGTTCACTGTACTATATTGCCACAATGTATGCTGCACTACATCACCACATCGATGCTGTGCTGCCTTCTCTATGATCACTGTTACATTGGATTTATGGCTTTTATTTTGGTGATTTCGAAAAGTTTTTTTTGGTTTTGGCCATGTTTTTGTTTATTGTAGTATGGAGTTAGACTGATGGCCTTAATCTTAGTTGTCTTGTGGTTGTTGTTGTTATTTGACTTGCATCCCACTGGGATTTTTGCACACGGCGTTGGTGTACGGTGCTATTTCAGGAATATTTTGATATTTTTTTCCTGTATTTTCTGTTTGCACAGTCACATAATCACTTTAAGATGTTTTCTTGTTCATGTTTTTTGTTTGTGGGTGGTTGCACCAGATTCAAGAGCCGAATGGCTCACAGGGCTATACCAAATAAATGAACTATGAACTATGAACTCTAAATGCAATCCCCACCGCTATTGCTCGTGCAATAGCGTTTCCTCGAATATTTGACCCTAAAATTACCCCCCAGGAAATGTATCCTAAATTCACCACGTTAAGTCAAACGGCGGTGAAAGATAATTGGCCCCACCGTCGCTATTTCGTCTGACGTCGCGTTTAGCCAGGGGATGCATCCACCAACGTTGATGGAGGCCTCGCCGTCGGTGGTTTCAAGTTTCAACGTCCACAGGACCCCCTTTTTTTCGTTGGCTTCCGGCTGTCCAAACGAACGCCATTGTCACGTCGCACTCGTCACACACAACAACAAAGTGCTTGCCGCAAATGAACCACAGTAGCCTCGATGATCTCGTCGTCAAGGAGCTACGCAAAACCATCACCGCGCGAAAACGCCGGACATCCTCGCAGCAACAGCAGCAGCAGCGGCAGCGGATTTTGGCGAACAATCGAACAAATTTACGGCGGTCACCGCATGGCACGGCGCTTTTAGATGCCCTCATGCGGCCGTCTGGAACGCTCTTCCAGACGATATTAGTAAGTCGCTGGAGCTACGCACTTTTAAATCATCTCGATTTAAAAAAAAAAACTATTTTCTTGAAAACTGCTTTGTGCGTTTTGTTTGTTGTCCTTCCCCCGCAACTACAAATTAGCACGACTGGCTATATACGGTGTGAAATATCTCAACATACACGTAGTATCAAGGCATTGAATGACGGATGGCTTTACCCTCTCTGGCGTAAACACAGGTGGTGTTAAGATGTTGAACCGCCACAGAGACACCCATTAAATGCAAGGCATCGAGTCTGCATTAACCACACACCGCTGCGCCACCACCTCCATCACAGCTGCTCTCCGAGCTGTCAATTCCAAACTTGGAATCGAAACCCGGGGACGTCGCTGCCCTCACCTTGATCCAGCTCGTGACCCTTGGCGGTCTTCCTCGGCACGTTCACGGCCACGTCGTCCGTGTCCGGAGGGGCCGGGAAAATCGGGGCTGGGCCAGCCAGACACGCACAACAGAGACAACGATCCAACCCCCTATAGACTTTAACACACTGTCGAGGCAAGTCACACACACACACGTCCGCCTTTGTCTCCCCAGTTGGCGATGTTCACTACGCACCACACCGTGGTACTCATTTGAGGCCGAGTCGACCTAGTGGAGGCCCCAGGTACCAGTTCAGACAATCGTCACTGGTGGTGTTGGTGGTTGGGCGGGAATGACACTCGGGCCGCGGGGTCCGTAGCACAGCGCGCTGACCTCTGCGCCACCCCTCCCAGCCAGAGACAAGAGACACAACATGTAGGCACCATCACCGCCGTGCCGACGACACAGCCCCCCACCCATCTGTGCATTATCCCCTCTGCCAGCTGGGAAGTGGTGGTGGCTGCGCTGCACGGGACGGCCCGCCCGTAATGCAGCGCTGTGGCGGCAGAAGCGAAGGTTTGGTAGATCACCGGTAAAGTTGGGTCGTGAAACTCCCTTCCCATGGGCGTGGAGGAGGAGCCGATTCTTGGCTCCGCCAGGAGAAGGCGATTGCAAAGTGTGGACTAATCCCCATCTATAAAGGAGGTTTTTTTTGGGTTAAATCGCGTAAATATATAAATGTGTCGTTAAAACCCGCCACCACCCGACACAGCCAACTAGTAAGGGTTGTCACGTAAATAGAACGTGGCCAATTCGTTAGTAGTACAGCACACCGGTGTGTTGGAGAGTACTCCAACAAACCGGAGGGCTAAACTAGTAACATGCCAATAGTAACAAATTGGTCAAACTCACTTGCACACCATCTGCATCCGCCTGGGCAAAACGGTGGCGTGCACCGTTTAACTATGTACGTGGACGTTTTAGCGGTACACCGGTGCAGCATAACGCACTGGGTCCTCATAAACAGCAACTGCGTCCGGTGCAGACGCAGTTTGCCGTTCCTCAAACTGCTGTGACTCTTCAGCTGACGATGATGCCTGAGCCGTCGCTACTCTTCTTGCTGCCCACTGACTGAGCTACTGCTGTAGACCCACCCCAGGGGAGAGATGAGGCCCCGAACTGTTGCCCCCTTGAGTGGGGCTGGCAGACTTTCGCCACCAGAAGTTGCACTTAGATTCAGGAGATGCTTTCCCATTCGAACGCGTGACACCACGAGTCATAGCCGTTTGTTGCCACCGTCCACCAACAAATTATTCCGGGAATGAATCGAGGAATCGTCCGACCAAGCATAGGGCACGAGGAGTCAAATCTTGCCTCTGGAACACGGGGCCAGCCAATCGTCATCAGGCTGGGTGCCGCTATACGGCACCCATTATCAGCCACTCATAAACATTCGTCTTCCGACTGCTTTGACATCACGATAATTGATTTTGACGCACGAATATTGTATCACCGGGGTTGTGAATCGCAGGAAAATAAATAAATATTGTAGGTTTCTTTTCCCATACCACACACCGGTGTACCGCTAATCCGTTCATATATCCATGGGTGAGCATACGCGACTGGGTGTGATAACACTACGTAACACAATTTTTGTTCCTGAGTAGCGTTATTTCGTAATTGCTTATGCCTAAAAAGTATAGAAAATGGCTATTAGTCCCCACAAGCTTTGCTTTTGTGACCAGGACAGTGATATTTTGAAATTTACCTATTTTCAATGAGAAAACGGGCGAATTTATTTAATTTCGTTCACGTAAAGTCAGAAAAAAACAACATATCAATCAAAATTAACATGTATTTATACTAAAGTTATACAAAACTCACTACTAAAGATTTAGATGTGAGTAGTTTTTCGAGATTTACGATTATACTGTAAACCACTTTCACGAATCAGCCCCCAAATGTAGTCTCCCATCATGTTCTCGTTATACTGTCCTCGGTAGCGGCGTTCAAAGTCCAGTATATCCTGGTGGAAGCGCTCGCCTTGCTACTCCGAGCACGCTCCCATGTTCTCCATGAATTTATCAAGATGAGCATCAAGGATATGTACATTAAGGGACATCGTACAGCCCATTGTACCGTAGTTCTTTACCAGATTCTCAAATAGCTCCACGTAGTTTTTGACCTTGTGATTGCCCAGGAAGCCACGAACCACTGCGACAAAGCTGTTCCAAGCCGCTTTCTCTTGAAGGTACTTTAAGGCTGCCGACTCCTTATCTCCAGCTCTGACAAATTGTTTCATAAGGCCCAATTTGATGTGCAGTGGTGGCATCAACACCTTCCGGGGGTCCACCAGTGGCTCCCACTTCACGTTGTTCATCCCCACAGAGAACTCGGTCCACTGTGGCCAGTCCTGCCTGTGGTATTACACCTAGGTAAAACCGCTGTCAGGAATGCCACCATTTTGAAGTCTCCGATGACCTCCCAGCTGTACTCATCATACTTTAAGGTGTCCAGCAAGGTCTTGATGCTGTTGTAATCTTCTTTGAGGTGCACCGAGTGAGCCAGAGGAAGAGACGGGTACTTGTTACCATTATAGAGCAGCACGGCTTTGAGGCTCCTGGATGCGCTGTCAATGAACAGGCGCCACTCATTCTGGTTACAGGCGATTCCGATTGCCTCGAACAGACTGGTCACATTGTGGCAGAAGCAGAGCTCATCTTGACGGGTGAAGAAGCTGCAAAAAGGTTGGTGATGCTTCCTCTGATCTGCGACTTGCACACTTTCATCCAACAAGTTCCACTGCTTGAGCCTAGACGTCAAAAGCTTGGCATTGGACTTGGTGAGACCAAGGTATCTGATCAAGTAGTTGAGGTCTTTTTGGTTGGGATAATATAGGGTTCTCTCCTCAGCTCCACCTCTGAAATTGTCATCTAGATCTAAGTCGTCCTCGCTCTCTGACTTGCTGCTCTCTTCTAAAAACGGCTGCTCTCTCTCCGGAGGAGTGGGTAGGGGAGCTCATGGCAGTGTGGCACCGGGGCGATGGATGAAGGAAGGTCCCGATACGTGATAGCAGGTGCATTCTTGCCAATCCGATGTTTGGAAGGGTCCATCATGAAGAAGTAGCAGTTGCTTGAGTGGTCAGTGGGTTCCCACCAAATTCTTGGGATAGCGAACTTCATGGCTCTCTTTTCCACTCTGTACTATCCTACAAAAATACTTTTATTTTACCCATGACTAATGTGTGAGAGATTCTCGCAACACTTTTCATATATAATATATTTTTTCAATAACATTGAAAATTGTAAAACATTTGAAACTTGAAAACATTTACAATTTTAAAAATTGTAACAAATTTATAACGTAGAATTCGGAGCAACAATTTGTCCATCTTACCTTCCAGAATTTGTGTTGCATTGCTCGCAGGTGAAATGAGGTGCCCAGGGTTTGTCTTGATCCCCGACAGGCATGTCGAAATATGCCTTGTTGTAGCCCTCACACATCTTAGCAGATGCTTCCACAGAGTACTTTTCGCTCTTCTCTTGATAAATTGGCCGCAGACATAGCAGAATGCATCTGCCGGATGTTTGCAGCCTCTTGATGCCATCTCAGAAAAATGCAGATATGTATCCACTTAGGCCGCTGGAACTAAACTGAACTGGTTGGCTTAAGGCCCCTGTATTTATACTCCTATTTATATTACTGGATCTATCTAGAATTTTCTGGAAAATAGGTCAATTTCAAAATATCACTGTCCTGGTCACAAAAGCAAAGTTTCTGGGGAATAATAGCCATTTTCTGTACTTTTGAGGCATAAGCAATTAGGAAATAACACATACTACCCAGGAACAAAAAAAATTGTTACAGTGTAATCATTGTTTGTAGAGCAGTGGCGCAGTGGTTAGTGCCGTGCTTCGCTACAAACCCGGCAAAGAACCCGGGCTCGATGTCCGCTCACGGCCAATAAAGCGACTTATGAATATTTGAACCATTCCTGGGTCTCCCCGATCTCGACTCAGCCTTAAATGAGTGAGTTTAACACGTAGGCTTTCGCGACCAATATTATTCAAAATAAAGGTTTTTGGGTTAGATCGCGTTTATTTATAAATGTGTCGTAACCCTCCACCACCCGACACGGCCAATCAGCAAAAAAGTGTCACGTTGACAAAAGACAAATAATTCACTACTTCAGCCCACTGGTGTGTTGAAGAGTTAATCCACATTTACAGTTTGAGTACGACGTTTCGCTGGTAAATACATCCAGCATCATCGGGCAATTCGCCAGAATGGTAAAGCCCTCGCTTGCTCCCGGTTTTATATAGAGCAGCAGGGTGACGTCATCACTTAACTCATATCAGGTGCAGTGATTAGAGTGAGGTGCCTGGTTCATTGTATTAAATAATCAGTACTGGGGAGACAAAAGCGGTCAAATGTGGTGCTGGCCACCCACACATCCTCGTGTGGCGTGCCAAGCTTCATAGGTGCTGCTGCTTTTTTTCATTGGGTGCAATTGTGAACAACAGCAATATCAGACATTCGTACAATCTAATCGGCATAATCATTGGTTCACTGCAGCTCAAAGACTCAGTCCCTACAAGGAGCGTGGTGAAGTTAGGAGATGTGCCGTGTGTGTGTGTGTGTGCTCGGCATTTGAAGGCCTTGAGACCAGAATTGATGATTTAACTGACAAAGTGTTTCGGGAGGCAGTTCCATATCGGGGACAGCAGAGTGAAGAAGGGAGCTTCTGTCCAGGGAGCACGTTCGAGCAACAGGACTTGCCCCAGGCAGCCTGGTTAACGGTTATATGGGTGATCTTTGTTTCTTGTATTTGTTGTTATACAATATATGCATTGTAGAAACGCACGCTACTCTGGTCAGGTTCCATAGACCTGCAGTGTTTGCGTTCGTATCACGTTGCGTTTGCTCTGCGTGGATGTGTGTCCACTGTCGCATTGCAGGCTGTTCCATTTTAAGGGGACTTCACAGGTGCAACATACTTTGAATGTGTGGTCAACAAATACAATGCCTTGAATATTGAACCCCATGGGAGCCTTTAACGATGAACCCTATGGGAGCCTTTAACGATGAACCCTATGGCAGCCTTTAAGACTGAACACTCACGAAGACTTTAACATTAAACCCAATGGCAGCCTTTAACGTTGAACCCTACGGGAGCATTTAACTTTGAGCCCTATAGAAGACTTAAACATTGAACCCTATGGAACACAAAAACGTTGAACCCTGTGAACCCTATATTTAATGTGGGACCCTATGAAAGACTTTAACAATGAACCCTATCGCAGCCTTTAATCTTGAACCCTGTAGGAGCATTTAACGTTGAACCTTATGGGAGCCTTTAATGTTGAACCCTATGAGAGCATTTAACATTGAATTCTATGGGAGCCTTTAATATTGAAAGTTTTACTCGCACAAAACACCGATATGCAACGAGAAACACGTGCATAACTCACACAAAACACGTGGCTTTATCTCTGTTCCTGTTCATTTGTTCCAATATCTCCTTATCCCTGTATCCCCATCGCTCTATATGCCCGTATCTCCGTGTCCCCTTAGCTCCGTGTCCCCGTATCTGTGTAGGGCCTTCTATAGGGAGGTGTGGGGCCTGGGGCAAATCCCACTGTGCCCCCCCCACCCAAATTGCGGGGCCCGGGGCAGTCACCCCGATTATCCGTACTCCAGGGGGTGGCTCAGACTGGTGTCAGTCAAGCACCCGGTGTAAGCGCCACAGTGGCTAGGAGATGCTGACTAACTCGCCTAGTATACAGGAGGTTGCGGGTTCAATACCGAACCTTACGCCCGGTGTAAATTTGGAGTTTGAATGTTCTCTCTCCCCGTGATCGTGCGGATTTTTTTCCGGGTCCTCCGGTTGTTCCCTCCCCATTGAGAGTCAACATCAACATGCGTTCAGAGTATTTGCCTGCTACGAATGATGATGAATAGCCACCAACTTCGTTGACCTATCATTCATGATAGCCAGGTCGCTTCTGAAATAATAGCCACTACGTAGCAGCTCAGTGGGGGCCTTACAACCTGGTAAAATAAAAACATTGTTAACTGTTGTACGCGGGAGCGACGGGCCCCCTGAATGTGGTTGTCAGGAATGAGATGGGGACGGCGAGGAGCGGACTCACTCACGCCGACTCTAAACTATAAACCCAACAATTTATGTAGCTCTTATTTCAGAAGCGACCTGGCCAACACAAAAGATAGCGGTGTCACCGCAGTGAATGTGATTATCATTATCGGCGGAAATATTTCGCAGCGGCCAAATAACTCTTAAACGCGTGGTGCCGTTCATTCTAAATGTGGAGGGACAAACCGGAGGACCCGGAAAGAATCCACGTGACCACGAGGAGAGACACACAAACTACAAATATAGCAGGCGTCAGGGTCAGAATTGAACCCATGATCTCCTGTATACCAAGCGAGGTAGTGTGACCGTGGCGCTCTTATCCTCTTACCCAACTCACCCGGAGACCCTTACCTGACTCACCCGAGGACCCTTACCTCACCTGGGGACCCTTACCTCACCTGGGGACCCTTACCTGACTCACCTGGGGATCCTTACCTCACCTGGGGACCCTTACCTCACCTGGGGACCCTTACCTGACTCACCTGGGGATCCTTACCTCACCTGGGGACCCTTACCTCACCTGGGGATCCTTACCTTACTCACCTGGGGATCCTTACCTCACCTGGGGACCCTTACCTGACTCACCTGGGGACCCTTACCTGACTCACCTGGGGATCCTTACCTGACTCACCTGGGAATCCTTACCTCACCTGAAGACCCTTACCTCACCTGGGGATCCTTACCTCACCTGGAGACCCTTACCTAACTCACCTGGAGATCCTGACTCACCTGGGGACCCTTACCTCACCTGGGGATCCTTACCTGACTCACCTGGGGACCCTCATCTCACCTGGGGACCCTCATCTCACCTGGAGATCCTGACTCACCTGGGGACCATTACCTGACTCACCTGGAGATCCTGACTCACCTGGGGACCCTTACCTGACTCACCTGGAGATCCTGACTCACCTGGGGATCCTTACCTCACCTGAAGACCCTTACCTCACCTGGGGACCCTTACCTCACCTGGGGACCCTTACCTCACCTGGGGATCCTTACCTGACTCACCTGGAGATCCTGACTCACCTGGGGACCCTTACCTGACTCAGCTGGAGATCCTGACTCACCTGGGGACCCTTACCTGACTCAGCTGGGGACCCTTACCTGACTAACCCGGGGGACTCACGTGGGCGCCGTTTGAGCTGCGCGTAGACGCGGAATGGCTGTGGCGGCTTGAGGTCGGCCCCGTTGCAGACGCAGTGCAGAGCGCTGTGCAGGGCGCAGCGCAGGGACTGCCTCCATGTGGCGGGCGACGTCAAGCCCTCGCGGCAGCGCAGCACCGCGTAGCCCTGCGGGGGAAGAGGTGGGTGGATGGGTGAGTGGGTGGGTGAGTGAGTGGGTGGGTTGGTGAGTGGTTGGATGGGTGAGTGAGTGGGTGGGTGAATGAGTTATTGGGTGGGTGAATGGGTGAGTGGGTGGGTGAGTGGGTGGGTTGGTGAGTGGGTGGATGGGTGAGTGAGTGGGTGGGTGAATGAGTTATTGGGTGGGTGGATGGGTGAGTGGGTGGGTTGGTGAGTGGTTGGATGGGTGAGTGAGTGGGTGGGTGAATGAGTTATTGGGTGGGTGAATGGGTGAGTGGGTGGGTGAGTGGGTGGGTTGGTGAGTGGTTGGATGGGTGAGTGAGTGGGTGGGTGAATGAGTTATTGGGTGGGTGAATGGGTGAGTGGGTGGGTGAGTGGGTGGGTTGGTGAGTGGGTGGATGGATGAGTGGGTGGGTGAATGAGTTATTGGGTGGGTGAATGGGTGAGTGGGTGGGTGGGTGGGTTGGTGAGTGGGTGGATGGGTGAATGAATGGGTGAGTGTATGGGTGGTTGTTTGCATTGCTGAGTGGCAACGCTAACCGACCCTCTTTTTTCCGACAGACCAAACCAAGACCCATTTCGCAGTCAGCACTCCTCGGCGTATTCTCAATACTGTAGAGCAGCGGTCCCCAACATTTTTGGGACCAGGGAACGGTTTCGTGGAAGACAATTTTTTCACGGACCGGGGGGGGGGGGGGGTTCATCATTGGGTCTTTCTTCCTTTTCAAAGAAGCTCTCCAGGGACATTATGGCTACTGGGGGTTAGAGCTTGTGGGCTCACCAACGCTGAGACCCGAGACGAGTGCTGCGCTGTGCGGGAAAGAGGCGCGGAGGGAAGTGGTAAATAATAAAATAATGGGCGGGCCACGCGCGGACTCACCGCCCTCACCTCCTGCTGTGCGGCCCGGTTCCTAACAGGGGGTTGGGGGACCCCTGCTGTAGAGGATACCATTGTAATAAAGTTCAACACAAAACCGGTACCAGATCTGAGTACAGGAGGTTTCTAATTTTCAACGTTCACACAGGGATTTATGACATAATATAACAACTTTCGTTCATCACTAAGTGGTGGTCATGTCACCACGGTGCTTGTACCAGGCTAGGTGCACTTTGAGACCACGAGAAGTGTCGAAGGCCCACTGGCAGGAGGTCACGGAACAGACCAAAGTGCCCTGGGTTGACTGACTGAGATGACTGGAAGATGCACCACCTGTGCTCCCCACTGTGCTAACTCTCTGCGTTTTAGCCACCTGGTGCTCTGCTCATTGTTGTGATCATTGCTCCTCTGCACTCCGTTGCTGCTGGAGAGTGACTGCCTCCAACTCCCCAGCAGCATCCTTCATAAACCTCCCAAACAGAGTCCAATCTTGACAACGCTGGTACCAGTCATCAGCAAGTCCAATGAGCTTCACATCCTCTTGTACCACATCACTCCATCTCTTCTCTAGCCCGTACTGCACCCGTTTAGCCTCCTCAGGCCGAACAAGAGCTGCTTTGGCATGCGGTGGCTGGGCATGCGTGCTACATAGCCCAGCCAATGCAGCTCCGCTTGCTGGAGTAGCTTACTGATGGGACTATCCCGATCTTTCCAGAATATGTGAACTCCTTACACAATCCAATCTGATTAAACCTAGGATGCATCGGAGGCAGGCTAGCCTGAATGTTACAAACCGGCACAGATGTTCCTTTAGAGAGCTCCACGTTTCACAAGCTTAGAGAAGGGAGGGCATGATTGTGGCCGAGAAGACCCGGAGCTTTGTATGGAGTGACAGGCCAGGTATCTTCCACTCAGCTTTACGCAGCCGATAAAAGTTAATGCCGCTCGACTGATTTGGAGTAAGATCTTGGCAGCCAAACCGTAGCAGATCACAAGCCACTCTGCCCACTTACGGAAACTTCTCCACTCTCTCCACAACTGGCCCATCACTAATTCCGAGTTGAGGAAGGAGAGCATTTGACGACATAAAGTACTAAGACAGGTGCTTTGTTATTGTAGAGCTGATGGTAAGGCCATATCTCAGGTTCATTAGTAGCATCTCCTACTCCTCAGAGTAGGCAGAAACCACGAGATCATCAGCATACGTAACATTGTTGACAAATACGCAGCCATCCACGACCACACCCGGGTATCGATCAGCCTCCCATTGTATCTATACTAGATGGGAATTCCACCAGTACAGCCATGAAAAGTTTCTCAAACTACATGGTCAAAAACGAGGTTAAATAGTATCGGGGTCAGAGGACATCTCTATCGCACCCCAAGGTGAACAGAAAAAGGCTCTGACACCCGACCACGCAACTTTACCCGGGCCTGTCCACCATCATGAAGGCCCTTAATGATTGTGAGCGGACGGTCTGGGACTCCAAAAGCACGAAGAATAACCCAGAGCCCTGGCCTATTGATAGTATCATAGGCATTGACCAGGTGAATAACGCAGAGATGTAGGTCCTGTTGAAATTCCCGACACTTCTGCTGTAGCATACGGACAGAGGAAATGGCATCCCGTGCAGAACTGCCCCAGCATGAAACCACATTGGAGCTCCGCAAGCCACTCCTCAGCATGCCTGGCAAGGCGATGTTGAATTATAATTAATCATTGCTAGGGCCTTTCACAACACACTGAGAAGGGAGATGCACCGCCAGTTGTGGCAATTTGTGTGGCCCCCTTCTTAAAAATGTGTGGAACCCGTCCTGTGGACCAGACAGTTGTGATGATGTCCTGTCGGGCAATCTGCACACAGACGCCACCCTCCCGAAACAGTTCGCTTGAGAGGTCATCTCTGCCCAGCGCTTGATCTGGTTTTAAGCTCCGGATCGCCCTTCACACTTCCTCAACAGATGGCGCCATCAGCCAATCAACTCACAAGGAGCGGCTTCCTCCTCCAATATTTCAGGCACAGCAGCACCAACAGGGTCAGCCCCAACTTGCCCTATGATATTATTTGAGGTGATGGGTTTCCCCTCCCCAAGACCTCACAGAAATGCTTGGCAAACCTGCGAACCTGTTCGTGGGGTCAGAGATGGGAATCTCAATTTGTTTCCTTTAAGTATAGGTGTGGTGCTGTAAGTTACATTTTTATGGTGTTAAAAATACATTTATTATCACATGCTACAAAGAGGTATAGATCAGTCCTATAGAGGGGGCCCGTTCATAAGTCGAACAGTTCATAAGTCAGAACACAATAATTTACTTAATTTAAATGCCCATATGGGCAGTGTTATGGAATGTGTTACGGTTCAACAAAAAGTGAAGCAATCGCACACATGCACACGTGCGCGCGCACACACGCTCAAACACTCACTCCCAGTGCGAGGCTCACTAATTTGACTGAGGATTGCTCCACTGAATAAGATAGTCCTGTGGTTCAATTTGCCGGTGCGAGTTCGCGTTTTAAGTCGATGTAAAACAATTCATAGTTCATGGAAGCTGGTTCGTAAGTGCGGGTGTGTTCGTAAGTGCGGGTGTGTGCGTAAGTGCGGGTGTGTGCGTAAGTGCGGGTGTGTGCGTAAGTGTGAGGACTGCCTGTACCCTGAAGATGGAGTCTCCATCCGGGATCGCCGACGTGGAATGCCACGGGATCCGCACGCTGGTCCGCTCCGCGTCTTCCCAGCTCAGGCCGTAGCTGCCACTGTCCGCGAGGTCGCTCAGCCAATCCCAGAGCAGCGGTTGCCTTCCAGCGGCCATCTCGATGGGTACAAGGACAAAGATCCGCCCTCCCCAGTGTAGCCTTTAACAGACTGTCAGGGCAAGTGTGCTCTGAAAGCAGGACCGTCCAAAGCAGGATGTGGGACCTGGGGCAAATCACACTGTGTGGGTCTTCAACACTGAAAACTATGAACTAAAAACTAGAAACATTTTTTTCACGGGCAAGACCACCTCAGCTGTACTTAACTCAGCTCACTTGGTTTCTCTAATCAAGGACATCTCACTGTCTGCAGATGATTTACTTGTCAGTTTTGATGTAGTCTTTATGTTCACCAATGTACCTGTATCTGACACCATTGCAATCATTGAAGACTTGATCCAACAGGGACTGAATCCAGATGCACCAACTTTGGTAAGGCACTGTCTTACCAACACTTACTTCACCTGGAATGGTACATTCTACAAACAAAATTAGGGTACCCCAATGGGTTCCTCCTTATCGCCAGTGGTAGCGAATGTTTTCATGGAGAAATTTGAGACAGATGCCATCCAGACATCCACCCTACGTCCTTCCTTGTGGAAGAGATATGTAGATGACACGTTTGTCATCTGGCCACATGGCCTGCCAGCACTGAGCCAATTTCTCAACCACATCAATTCCATACACCCGTCTATCAAATTCACCATGGAAGTGGAAAAGGATGGCAAGCTACCATTCCTGGATGTTTTGATCGAGAAGTGACTTGATGGCTCGTTGGGACACTCTGTCTACAGGAAAGCCACCCACACGGATTCCTATCGAAAGACTGACACGCACCACCATCCAGCCCAGAAGAATTCCCCCATCAAAACACTACACCATAGGGCCCATTGCATATCCGACCAGCGCCACCTAGCCAGTGAGTTGGAGCACGTACACCAAGCACTCAGGATGAACGGATATTCTGACCGTACAATCCGCAAAGCTGTCTCCCCAGCCATGCGGAGACAACCTTCTGAAGATCTAACCAATACCATCACTTTACTGTACATAGCAGGGGTTACCAAAAAGATTTCCAAAATCTTAAACAAACACAAGATCCAGGTTCGTTTCAACACAGTACACAAAATCCGTGATTTGATCCCATCTGTAAAGGATGTTATTCCTAAAATGCAATACCCTGGCATCTGCAAACTGAGCTGTGGTTGCGGCAGCAGTTACGTTGGGGAAACGAAACGTCTCGGACCGCGTTCGCGAACACAAGGCGGATCTGAAACACGGTAGGACCAATACCTCTGCACAGTGGGCTCACACTAAATTGACTTTTCCAAGACGAAGGTACTCTGCAAACCCATCGGCTATTATCAGAGATTTGTTCATGAAGCAATCCGGCAGATCTCTCGCCTACTTCAGCAGTTGTTCCTTGCTGTGGTTGTCAAACCTGATGACGGTTGCTTGTGTTGCGATTGAAACGTCGTGATCTATTTTTCTTCTACCTACGTGACTTTACCGAAATAACCAAAAGATGTGTATTTTACCACGCAAGACCCATGGAGCTATATAGGTCTTTTTCAGAAGTGACCTGGCCACAAGCGATAGCTCAACGAAGTGGCTTATCGTGTAGAAATTTATAGCAGCAGCCAAATACTCTAAACACGTGTTGTTGTTTCTAAAAGGAGGGAAAAACCGGAGGACAACGAAAAAAATCCACACGACCACGGAGAGACCACGCAAACTCAAAATATACAGGAGACGTCAGAATTCGTAATTGAACCCATGTCCTCCTGTATACCAGGTGAGGTAGTTAACATCTCCTAGCCACCACCATGGCGCCAGGGCGCTCCGGGCCCCGCACCCCCACCTCTCCTCATATGGACGGCCCTGCCCACAGCATTCAATGTTCAAGGCACCCATGGCATTCAATTTTAAATGCTCCCATAGCATTCAATGTTAAAGGCTCCCATAAAAAGGCATGTTCATTCACGCAGTGTTGCTTGAGCCAGGGCAGTCCACCGATCGTCACTGTAAACATTTACATGAAGAGATGAGCAGCAGTCACGGGAGCTCAATCGTTGCTTAGCAGAGTGGCCAATTTCGGTGTTAGTCCTTAGGTGGTGTTGCAGAGCAGTGTGAAGGGGCCGCTCGTCTGAACATTACTGCCTGCGGATTATGTTTAGATCAGCCATCCGCTGCGATTGGCTAGAGGCTTAGAAGAGTGCAAGAGTCAACAACAATTTATTGTCTTTGACCATAACCCTGAGCTACTTACAAAACATAACAGGGTATTCGTATCAGCAGATGACAAACACAGTCCATGCAGGGCAACCTTCAAATGTCACTCAAATAAACGACATCATAGGTGGACGATGAAATATACATCATAAGATGATTATGGGAATGAACTGCACCTGATGATTTAAAAAAAAAGGTGGAAATAGGCTTAACCACTTTCTGGCAATGCCACAGAGAGGTGTTAAGATGTACAAACACTGAAGAGCCGCCAATTGTCGCAAGGTATCACCAAGTCGGAATTAACCTTACATCATGTGTCTTGTCGAAAGAAAACGCATACTGACGCCTATCTGAATGCAGAGTCACACCATCACCCCGCACAGAAATCTGCTCTTATCAAGACGCTCATTCATCGAGCTAATAAATCAGATGGTGACAGTCTGAGAAGTGAAATTCAACATGTTAAAGTAGCACTGCAAATGAACAGTTACAATGATGCACAAATAAACAGGACATTGAATGCCAAAACCAAATAAAATAACACGAGCATTGAAATTGCCCAAGCAATCGAAACTATCAAAATACCATACATTGCGGGAGTAACTGATAAACTAGCCAGATGTTTGTAAAAACAAAACATCCGAGTAAAATTTGGCACGGTACATAAAATAAAAAAATTAATATCTCGTACAAAAGATGTATTACCAAAGCTGTCAATAGAAGGTGTGTACAGGATCAACCGCACGTGTGGATAATGTTATGTTGGGCAAACAGGACGAATGATCAGCACGAGACTAAAAGAACATCAGAGAAATATTAAATTATCCCAAATACAACTGTCAGCAGTAGCAGAACATGCGTGCCAACAAGGACACTCAATTGATTTGATAATGTTGAAGTTCTGTGCAAAACTAGCTACTACTGGCCAAGACTAATTAGAGAATCTATCGAAATTCAAAGAAATAAAAAATAACTTTAACCGTTCGGATAGCTACCGCCTTAGTGCTGCGTGGAAGCGAATCATCAAATGATAAATTATTTCAATGCATGCCTACAAAGGGCAGAATACTTCATTAGGGACTACCGTTGGTAGGGTTATTTTAATAAACATAATAGACATGAACGACCAGTTCAAAGGGCTCGCATAATGCGTAAAGTAGGTTTACTAACCCCCCCCCCCCCACCCACTTTGCGCAACAGCGCAGAAGCGTGGTCACCACATCTACGCCTCTATATACAGTGAGGGAAAAAAGTATTTGATCCCCTGGTGATTTTGTACGTTTGCCCACTGACGAAAGAAATGATCAGTCTATAATTTTAATGGTAGGTTTATTTGAACAGTGAGAGACAGAATAACAACAAAATCCAGAAAAGCACATGTCAAAAATGTTATAAATTGATTCGCATTTTAATGAGGAAAATAAGTATTTGACCCCTCTGCAAAACATGACTTAGTACTTGGTGGCAAAACCCTTGTTGGCAATCACAGAGGTCAGACGTTTCTTGTAGTTGGCCACCAGGTTTGCACACATCTCAGGAGGGATTTTGTCCCACTCCTCTTTGCAGATATTCTCAAAGTCATTAAGGTTTCGAGGATGACGTTTGTCAACTCGAACCTTCAGCTCCCTCCACAGATTTTCTATGGGATTAAGGTCTGGAGACTGGCTAGGCCACTCCAGGACCTTAATGTGCTTCTTCTTGAGCCACTCCTTTGTTGCCTTGGCCGTGTGTTTTGGGTCATTGTCATGCTGGAATACCCATCCACGACCCATTTTCAATGCCCTGGCTGAGGGAAGGAGGTTCTCACCCAAGATTTGATGGTACATGGCCCCGTCCATCGTCCCTTTGATGCGGTTGAAGTTGTCCTGTCCCCTTAGCAGAAAAACACCCCCAAAGCATAATGTTTCCACCTCCATGTTTGACGGTGGGGATGGTGTTCTTGGGGTCATAGGCAGCATTCCTCCTCCTCCAAAAACGGCGAGTTTAGTTGATGCCAAAGAGCTCCATTTTGGTCTCATCTGACCACAACACTTTGTTGTCCTCTGAATCATTCAGATGTTCATTGGCAAACTTCAGACGGGCATGTATATGTGCTTTCTTGAGCAAGGGGACCTTGCGGGCACTGCAGAATTTCAGTCCTTCACGGCGTAGTGTGTTACCAATTGTTTTCTTGGTGACTATGGTCCCAGTTGCCTTGAGATCATTGACAAGATCCTCCCGTGTAGTTCTGGGCTGATTCCTTACCGTTCTCATGATCATTGCAACTCCACGAGGTGAGATCTTGCATGGAGCCCCAGGCCGAGGGAGATTGACAGTTCTTTTGTGTTTCTTCCATTTGCGAATAATCGCACCAACTGTTGTCACCTTCTCACCAAGCTGCTTGGCAATGGTCTTGTAGCCCATTTCAGCCTTGTGTAGGCCTACAATCTTGTCCCTGACATCCTTGGAGAGCTCTTTGGTCTTGGCCATGGTGGAGAGTTTGGAATCTGATTGATTGATTGCTTCTGTGGACAGGTGTCTTTTACACAGGTAACAAGCTGAGATTAGGAGCACTCCCTTTAAGAGTGTGCTCCTAATCTCAGCTCGTTACCTGTATAAAAGACACCTGGGAGCCAGAAATCTTTCTGATTGAGAGGGGGTCAAATACTTATTTCCCTCATTAAAATGCAAATCAATTTATAACATTTTTGACATGCGTTTTTCCGGATGTTTTTGTTGTTATTCTGTCTGTCACTGTTCAAATAAACCTACCATTAAAATTGTAGACTGATCATTTCTTTGTCAGTGGGCAAACGTACAAAATCAGCAGGGGATCAAATACTTTTTTCCTCACTGTAATGAACGAAACAGGTGGACTTCTCCACAAACCTGGCTGTTGCCTGATTAAGCTAGCTGTAATTACTGGCGAAACGTCGTACTCAGATTGTAAATGTT